TTTTCCTCATTTTTCTAAACTTTGCAATTTTTTGGTTGAGAGTGATTCTTTAGCCTCATTCGCAGGGGTTTCCGTCCTTTTTTTGGATAAAAAGTCAAAGTCTGTTGCATCGGCGGATTCAGCAAATTGGTAACATTGTTTTTATCCATTTAAACCTACGGAAATGTATCGATTCTTGGAGAGGCCAGGTGCTCCGACAAGAATCGATTGTTTAACATAGGTTTAAATGGAGGGAATCCGGTGTTGCCGAATTGCAGGATTCGCCTCTGGTCTGTTGAGATTTTAGACGTAATCAATGCACCATTAGTTCGACCACACTAGTTCCAGAGTGGTAGTGAATAATCAAATTGCAAGCTCTGCGGGACTGTTTAAGCGTATCTATACATACATATGGGTAAAATTAAGACTTTTCGTACTCTGTAAAGTGTTTCCGTTGGAACGACGCTCCCCAAATTTTTGGAGAAAATCATGTCGTTTTCCGGACCATAAAAAATACCAAATGAGCATCAATATTACCTAGATTGAGGATGAACATTTTGAGACATTGACTTTGAATTAGGTTATTACCAGTTTAGGTTCATCCCGATTTTTGGTGGACTTCTGATAACGTTAAAATAAAACTTACCAACTTTTCATTAATCTACCCCGGTGTTGTATTGCGAAACGGCACGAGGACTCGAAGCGTGAATTAGAGGCGGTAAATTTCGTTTTAAAAGGCTATCTGTAAGATTCCATGATAAATTGAAACTAGCACAACACGGCGTGGAGACATTGTCTGGTAATTGAAAGTGCGGTTCTACCTGAGCTCAAAGATATCAAAAGCGCGCTGACAGTCGTACAAAAAGAAATGCTTTAATTAATGCACGCGGACACAGCAAAGGATTTAATCCGTCCAAAGGTAATTAATCCGTTGGTATTATTCGCTAAATTAAAAAAAAGGAAAATATCAATTAACAGTCTAATCTGTTTTTAATGAATTCACTGCGTCTCCCTATGCTCTCTGACGACCATTCAAGTAATTACTTTTGCACCGAATTCCGTCGGCGTTGTGAAACGTAATCAACAAAAGAAAAATAAAACGAGTAAGCTCAACGAGAAAAACCTTACAGAAAATACAGAAAAGTAATGAATAACTTCGAGGGGAGAATAATAATAATAATAGTAATTTAAAATATGTCAACAGAGGAGAAATAACAACGATTATTCTGAAATCCAAGAGAAAGTAATCACGCTTCAATCTAACATAAAGTAACGTCGGGAGCTATACCTGAATTTTTAGAAAAATTGGCACTAATGAATATTTTTACAAAAGCAAAGACTTATGGAAGATTAAAGCTTTTCCTTTTGATGTTTTTGATATGCGGTCATCCTAAAACCGTAAGCTTCGACTTAACATAATTCATGAGCCTTAAAACTGCTCATTTTGTGAATTCGCAATTTTGTGTACTTGGAATTAACGTGGGAGAAATTGTTATATTCCCTTTGTTTCAAAAGAACTACATATCTGTATCTCTTTCAATCCAAACTGAAAGAAACTATAGAATCAGTTTTGTACAATTGCTCATGGATAACCTCAAAAAATCTAGGCCTGTCACGCATGTCATTTCGCGAATTCGCGATCCTGTGCACTCGGAATTAACGCGGGAGAAATTTTCATCTTCCCATTGTTTAAAAAGAACTACATGCATGTATCTTCTTCCAATCAATACT